TACGATAATCAGATCTAACATATAGTTAATCGAAGCAGGGGTTGCAGTGTTACTTCGTGTTATAGTTCACATTTTTAGATAACAAGCCGCTTCATAGAAAGTTCTCCATAGCGCCACCAAATGTCAACACTTTCCCTACCGGTGTTGATTTCATCGAGCCAAAAGTGATCCAGGTCAGATCCTTTCCAACTCTAAACTTCATATGCCACTTTTATCAACGTCCTAATTTCAGTTCATCAACAACATTCGAACCACTCAACCACCCTTCAGAAAGCAGAGACCTAATGGTAAGCTACAAAATCGCTAAGTCAATCACTCAGCTTGGTGCTATTTGGATCAAACTTGGTGGTTCGATAATTATACATAACAGGGGGCGGAGATGGTGAAAAGATGGCCAGTTTTCCCAAGGCAGGGCTCAGAAGTCAGATCCCCAATCGAATTTACTTTGACAAAAGGAAGTTTCCTTTTTAGTCTGAGTCAACCTGATTAAAGCAACACTTCATGAGAGGATAAACGAAGAAGTATTCATGTGCTGGATTCCGAAAGACAGTGTATAGGCCACATCCGACTCAAATGTGTCGCATGATATTAAGCGGAATACGGATGTTTGGCACATCTCATAAAGACCGTGATTAGCTATGGAGGTTTTACTCCTTCACCTAATTCGTATGTTAGGCGCTCATACAGTAAGGGGGGGGGCATTGATGCATGCAACGTCAGTTGGCGTGCCTCACCATCCCACCCTCTAGACTGGGTTCATCCCCCTTGCTCACGAGGTCCCGTGTTTCGAAAAATCTGTGCGCCAGGGGGAGTGTAGGCAGCCTAGGGAGTGGGGGGCAAGGGCAGCCACTTGATGCCCCTCTTACTGGATAAGCGCCGTATGTTATATGGATTAACAAGCATGGTTTCATCTTTCAATTGACATTACGGCTGACTGTAGTTGTTAGTTTGCCCGATAACTTCGTATAACGTATGCTATACGAACGTTATAAGAACATCGAGGGAGTAGTGAAGAAGACGAAGAACATCCGGCTCCGTGCCCACCTCTTCGATTCCGCTGTCCTTCCTGCCCTAACCTACGCCTCAGAGACTTGGACTCTGCGCAGGCAGGACGAGCATGCGGTCAGCGTTATCCAACGCGCTGTCGAGAGGACGATGCTAGGAGTAACCCTATACACGCAAGTGCAGAGGGGAATCCGGAGTGCCGAACTACGCCAACGATCGAAGATCAGGGACGCTGCCGTTTTCGCCAAGGAATCGAAGATAAGGTGGGCCGGACACGTCATGCGATTTTGCGATGACCGTTGGACCAGAGCGGTTACCGACTGGATCCCTCGGGACGTCAAACGAACACCTGGACGACCGCCGGCCCGATGGTCAGACTTCTTCACGAAAGCTCTGAACGAAAGGAATGATGGACTTCGTGTCCCTCGAGCAAGGAGGATCCACTGGACCACTCCTAGCACGCGACAGGGACGAATGGAGACGTTGCTGGCGCCCGCTCGAGCATCGATGATCAACGGGACGACAGGTGATACAGGTGATGTGTGCAAAAACTACGTCTTCGATTTCGGCAGCAGCGGACATCTCCGCTCAAAGGATGGAATCATCGGCCTCTGAAATTAACGATTCAGTTGAAACATTGGGCCACTTAAAGAAGTGTTCCAACAAACAGCCTCGTAAGGAGGAAAGTTGAAAGAATTCCAACTGACATGCCGAGGCCACAAGAAGAGAGATGCTGGAGGACTAGTTTTAATCAATTCTAATTTTAAACTTATTCGATTAACTTTGATGAACATTTTTTGTATTTGAGCTTATCTATATTTATCCCTATTTGAAGGGCTACGTCCACAGCGACCCGGTTCAAATCCAAATAATTCGAGAATTCACCCACGATTCCGACCAACACCACCACCGTCACCGCCACAGCCACAGCCTTCTCTGAAGAAACCGTTGAGACCGAAGCAGCCGCCTCAAACCAACGTTCCTCAACCGTCTCCAGCTCAACCGACCTGTGGAGTCGCACCAGAGTTCAGTCCTTGTGTTAGTTCTGAGCAAGCCAGTCACGGTAAGTACGAATTACATCCACTTTTCTCTACGGTTCATTTGTTTCGATTTGTCGATTATTTGCAGCTTTGTTGGAATGCTGCCCAAAGAAAGAACCTCCCAGCTGGCTGTTTGTCCCTTTGTCGGTATGACATCACACAAGCCGAGGTCCGTTTGGGTCTTTCCTTCCCTGCTTTTTGTGGGCGACCCACCCAGACTCGTCCATACTTGTGAACGTTCTACCCTTTTCGTCCATGTTTGGAAATGTTTTACCCATTTTTCATTTGATGGTACAGCGTACGATCAGCGTATGGATTCGTGGCATTGTTGTGGAATATTCAGTTCGTCGCTGCATTCCTCGATAATGCGCCTCTCAAGGAAAATGATAACCGAGTGCTGTAGACATAAGGATTGCTCAGAAAACGTGAGCTCATCCGTTTTTCTGGAATTTTGTCAGAAAAATGCATGGATCGATTTTCAGTGGACCTCAATGCGAGCAGTTTTGTCGACCAGCACAAGGACTCAGCGCCTTGGGCCTTCAGCACATAGTGTGTGCCAACGCGATCGGTGACATGCTTCATTGCCATCACGCGGGAATCAGGCGATAGAAGGTGTCATTGAAACGACTCCTACCGGGTCGAGTTTTTGAGTTTCATCTTCGGTAAACTAAGCCCGAGACAACGACGCCGATCTGCTTACGGAGCCGCCACTGTATCGAATTTTATTTTTTGCAGCGGATCTTCACGGTAATCCGGTATCGATACCCTCCAATAAGCACTGCAGAGCATTTCCACAGAAGTGAAATTTGTGGGTACACTGGGACAACAGAAACCTGTGCAAAAGAGCTAAGGAGCGCCTCATCCACTATCGCAGCTGTGTAGCCGGTACTAGATGCCGGAGAGCGCCTGTCTGCCGCTGTCGCACGTCCTTTCTACACTCTTCTCGCCCCCCACGTCACGGTGCCGCGCACACCCCCAGTAGCTCTCTCCGCTGTAGAACTGCGCCCGAAGCTAACGAAAGCTGCCGGATCTGGTTAGTAATCTTAGCTATTCCCTCTCTTCATATCACTGATAGTCCACCTCTTTTTTTGAATCCGAGTGCAATTATCACAAAAATGATCTTGGAAGATGCCTTCAGAAGGAATCGCCAACAGCCCCACGGTCCATTCTGTACGCACGCAAATCATGTATTTTTTCAATTAAATTTTCCTTATTAATACCGAGTTGAACAACTAAAGTCTTGAAGAATTTCTGGAATCAGTTCGTTGTTGTAAATTGTGTTGCCATGCTTAATGTGTTTGTTATATATCTTCTTGATGTGACCGAAAACTTGTGATTAACCCTTTTCAAAACGGATCTCATGAGTTTCACATTCCTCACGATGAACATCCTAGCATGTATTGTACTGCCTTGACATTCTGAAGTGAATTAAATAATAAAAATTTCAAAGTAAATGTTCACTGGAGGCGGAAGTGGTGTAGTGACAAGTGGCGCGCTCACCACGCGAGCGGTCCGGGGATCAAATCCTGGGTCGTGAGTCGCCCGGGCCAACCAAGCCTTCCATCCCTCCGGGGTCGGTTAATTGGTACCAGACTTGTCTGGGAGGATAAAAACACTGACTTGAACATCGGCTGGCCCCCGCAAGTCATTGTATAGGCCACATCGCATTCAAACGCCACTGCGAATGTACAAATGGAAGTAGAACCTGCCGCATCGGTGCGAGCACGGTCCCAGAGACGGGAATTGATCAAACGGCAAAGATGCTTTTCCTTTATCCCTTTATCCTTTATATGTACTGCACGGTGGGTCGAAGATTTGATGCTAACGAAGTTTGTGCGAATTCTGTTGATAAGGGTTACGTATGAATCGTTCAAGAGATGACCTGAGTCACCACGATGCTGCTTCGTTGAGCTTGCTGATTGAAAAGGTGAAGTCGACGAGAGGTTGCGAGGACGGAGAAGTATTGGAGCTTGCTGCGAGCCGACTGCCAAGCGCTCCGTCCTGAACCCGTCGTCGCCACCGTCAGGACCCGCACTTCCGTTCGCGCCCTACTTCTCCTGGCTCTTGCCAATCTGTCTGAATCAAGATCGAACATTCTCGCTGGCTATTGTTACCGCCAATGAATTGTGAGTGAAGAACCGTGTCTGGCCGTTCTTGGGATATCGCTCCCGTTACTGTACCACGAACATGATCCAGTGATTGAACTTCTGGATAAAAAGCTCGTCCAGACGTAACAAACCTTAATTACTCAGGTCCGTTGTCAATTGCACTGTATATAAGGATTGAAACACAGGAGGCGCACAAACGGCTTAATGTGTGGCGCATTACAAAAAGAGGCTTTGTTTTGAGTTTTTGGCAACCCCCCACTCTCCTAGGAAAATTTGGCCTATTCATCAAGTGAAGTGCAATGTGCGGGCAAATGGTACAACTACCAGGCAAGTAGAAGTGCTCGTCTGTAGCACTGAAGGCCCAATCCTGAGGAACGCCCTTCACAATCAAAGAAAACAGTGCAATTATTAGGGTCTTTCGGTTATCGAGTCGCTACAAGTTTATGACAGTTAAGGAAAAATCGCGGTGTTAAGCAACGAAGGAAAGATGAACGTCCACCTGGGTTAACCAAGAGCCAGCTATCGGATAAGGGTTGAGCGAATCAAACCCACCACGGATGTTGGAAAGATTTGTCTGGGGAAGAGATCCTGAAGTGGTTCGAAAAATCTAGCTCAGATCTTGAGTACCGTCGAATGACGCGCTTCCAGGTAAGCCTGCCCTTCAGCCTGAGCAGTCAAAATAGTTAAAGGCTCATTCCACGAGTAGATTGGGAAAGTTTACAACTGCAGAAATAAAACCATTTCGTGATTCAGATCGAGCTCGTGGCAGAAGCGCAAGAAGCAGGGTCAACCGTCCGTTGAACAAAAGTCGAACGGTCGACGTAAAACAAAGATATACACCCCGTATAGAAAATGCGAGTAGTGGAAGTATAGGTTGAAAAGAGGGGGAAATGTTAGTGAAATAGGGGACAGTATGCGGAATTTACGGATTTCGTGGTAGGTACCCATACCCCCCTCCCCCCGCTCGACGGTAATTTTGGAGGAAAAAGTGGGCGGAGTTTGGGCTGTGTCGACTGGTCTCAGAATCGAATACTATAGAATGAGCCCCATGATGGCGATGGCAGGCGAGGGTGGTGAAGGGTTGACCCTGAGGGGGGGGGTCGTATCGAGGCCCTCTAGAAGGGGAGGGGGTCGTAAAATTTTCGAAATCGGTCCAACGTGACGGTTGACCCTGGTCAACCCTTCACCACCCTCGCCTGCCATCGCCATCATGGGGCTCATTCTATAGTATTCGAGACCAGTCGACACAGCCCAAACTCCGCCCACTTTTTTCCTCCAAAATTACCGTCGAGCGGGGGGGGGTATATACCTACCACGAAACCGCAAACATCCTCTCACTTTCCCTCTATTTCACCAACATTTCCACTGCAACATTTTCTAGGGGGGGGGGGGGCATATACACACACACCGTGAAACGGCAAAATTTTAGCGCGCCAACCAACTGCATCATCACTTCCCTTACTGTAACATTAACGCTACCTCGCGAAATACGACCCCCCCTTTTTTCCACCCCAAATACGACCCCCCACCCCTCGTTGGACTTTGTCCAACGCACGGTTGACCCTGGTCCGAACTAGCTTGCTCTGCCGGCATTTATTGCTGGCAGCCAGCAAGACACGCTGGCAAGGAATGCCGCAAAAAAGTAAATTGTGGTGCAAATCTGGCGCCAGGTTGATCGCCCTGTCTCGCCGTCGTACCACATCCGACCTATTGAAGGTTAAGGCCTTAATTTCAGCGTTCATAAAGACTTCCTTGCTTTCCACTCCACTTTCAGGTCGTTTTGCAGCTTAGTGGCGCTCATAGCACCAGTCTAATCCGGGGTGCCTTCAGAATCGGTCGAGGATTCGTCGACGACTCCTCAAAGATTTTCGCCTATTCAACATTCGCTCTCGACACTATTCTCGCTCAACACTGAGCCATGGTCGAGGATTTCTTCAACTCCTGTTCACCCTGTGGTAGAACTGCAATACGAACACAAAAAATGTCGTCGGGTTTCGCAAAATAAACGATTAAAAACATTCAAATGGCGCAAATAGGGTCATATCTCATGCCCTTACCCAAGAAATCTGCAAAACTGCCCCGATGCTCTCTATTCCGCTCCTGTTCCGTCAGTGATCTCAGTGAATGTCTCTTGCCTATGACCAGCGCTTGCTGTTTTAAAGGAAGTTATGTGGGGTGGGGTGAGGGGAGCGGGGTGTTAAAGAGATGAATACGAGGGTGTGGAGAATCGGGTAATAATAGGGAACCATTTGAAAGGCCGCCGACACCGTCTAGTCCTTTTTCTATCAAACTCTTTTAAGACAAAAATATTTCATCTGGATCGCCGTTTGATTCATTGCTTTCGTAAAATGCCGCGAGTTCCGCATGATTTCTTCACATCAAGAGAACACATGATTACCAATCCTTATAATTAAGTACATCTCATGAATTTTTGAATTTATTGCCAAATTGGTTCGAAGACTGCAGAAAGCGCCATAATTCACGAAATCACCAGCAATCAGCTATTCCAATTAGGTTTTTCTCTTTACGCTGCGGTTACTGCGAATATTTGAGGCAGCGCGAGCGAAATTCAGAAAACGCTTGTAGATTCTCTCACTTTCTTCTCAAAACCTCGAAGGAAAACTCCTAGAATTATCGATTTAGTTCCTATAAGAATATTCTCAAATGAAAGTCTACTGAAAAATGGCAGCCGTAAATTTTGCTCATCTTTTCAGGTGAAGAACAGTTGAGGCAACGAATGCTGCAATTGAAGGAAATGCCGAAAAAGCTTCCGCATATGAAAGAGGATGAAAAACGGTCAGTAACAAATGTCCGTTCGCGCCGCGTTTTCCCTGGAGATGACGAAGAAGAATCGCTTTCGGAGATTCGGCGCTGTCAAGTTGAATGGCCATAAATGAAGTGGTGTCGTTATCCACGCACTGACAACGCCTCTCCGAGCCGAGAACACGCCCAAGAACATGGAATAGTCGTGGTTCTCAATTATTCGGTCGTCTAATATTGTTGATTTACGAAATCAACAAGTATAGAAAATAAACATGGGAATTTCAGGACGGACGAAGGTCCATAAGACCGCCAACTTTCTAAAGAGCAGAACAAAGCAGAGCTGAAGCACCGAAATCAGCGGAAGAGCGGAGCGCGCAAAGCAAGAAAATTTGGTGTCAACTCAGTTGGGGGGGGGTACCCGACAGGAGGCCCGTCGCGCGGCAAGAAGGCAGGATCAGCGGACGAGTCGCAGCGCGTCCTGTGCGATGTGGGACGTACAATGGACATTCTATTTTAACTTGACGAAACCCTACAAGGCGCGTGCGACTCGTCCGCTGACTCTGCCTTCTTGCCGCGCGACGGGCAGGTACACCTTGGGGGGTAGGGACCACGCGATTGCGCTTCTGTCCGTCGCTGCACTTTCTGCACCTCGAAAGCTTAGGCATAGGGGCCACTACTCGTTTATCGCACTGTAGCAGATTCGAATTACCGTGGCATCGCAGACTAAGCCTTAGAGGT